TTTTTTAGGCATGGAATGATCATCGTGCCCTCCCATAGGTTGTCAGTCGCAATGCCTGTAGCGCGCACACCGTGAACGGCAGGAACGTCAGGCGAATCATGAACAGACGTTGGCAAAATAAAATTCATTCCGTTTAGCTTACTAGCGTGCGTGAGGTAGGAGAAAGGTGGGGTCTCCGACCGGCGGCCAAGTCCCACTAGCAGCGTTGAGCTACCTCAACGCCTGAATCTAGACGTGTTTGTGGACAGGTGCAGTTCAGAAAACTCAACAGCATTTCGAAACATCTGCGCTGTAATTCGCGTACAGATACAGGCGTTGAGGTGGCTCAACGCTGGTAGTGGGACTTGGCCCCGGGGGAGGTGGGTCGTGTCCCAGGGTGTAGCCAGAGTTGGCTGCACCTTGGGCCAAGTCCCACCTACCTGTATCCTTCATTTGTGAGCATAGATTGCATAGACCCAATGGTCAGATATGAAGCAGGGGGATAAGCGGGGCTTGGCTCCTGGAGAAAAAGCATATGGGCGCTCGTTTAATTCATGTGGCCCGAGGGGCCAGGTCCCGCTAGCAGCGTTGAGTTTCCTCAACGCCTGAATCTAGACGCTTCCGTGGAGATGTGCGGTTGAGAAAACTCAACGCGATTTCTGCACATATCCACATACACGTCCAGATTCAGGAGTTGAGGAAACTCAACGCTGCTAGTGGGACTTGGCCCCAGGTGACACCTGGAAGGGAATGTATGTGGCCCCTACTACGTCCACATGAAAGATAAAATACCCATGAAAGATAAATGGTTCACGTCGACTCTCTCTCTCTCTCTCTCTCTCTCTCTCTCTCTCTCTCTCTCTCTCTCTCTCTCTCCACCGTCGCCCGCACAGGATGGATGTCGTTGGCGGAGTGCGAGCGTCCTTTTGGCATTCCGTGGTGATGGCAAGCGGATATTATACGTTGGGTCTGACACTTCATCATCGTGGGATGTAGTAAGGGATGATTGCGGTGGCAGGGTTCACGCCARCGGTGGCAATGRCGAGTGCATTGCGATGCATTATGATTGTGTTGGACTGGGAGTATTCAAATCTGTATCCCTGGGCGGGGCAACCTCTTCGATAGGGTGACTKCAGCAGGCAACGTCATCGGATTTTTAAAATCCRTTGACGTACACCAACGTTGGTGCGTTATGTGGTGAATTTCTGTGGATTTTTTTTTTTTTTTTTTTTTTTTTTTTTTTTTTTTTTTTTTTTTTTTTTTTCCGGTGACATGCTATGATGGCGGCAGCACGGATGTGGCGGTGAGAGGCGGCAGTGTGTGCATGGCCGTCAAATGCGGAAGTCTGTGCATGGTGGTGGTCGTGGGCAGAACTCGGTGAGCGAGTAAACGAGCATGAGCATAATTTGAATTTCCCAACAGTGTCATGCCACCGATGGCCCGCCGTCCAACTTT